GCAGAAAACACATGTTATTGATATGTTGTCGCTCACTCATTACTAGAAGAGGAAGGAGGATTTGTTATACTTAAATACTTAAGGATACATTTCTGACCTCCTGCTAAATTATGAACCATCCAGATCTCTCAGGTCTTCAGGGACTGGTCAGCTTTCTGTCCCCAGAGTCAGAACTAAACATGGTAAAGCAGCGTTCAGTTATTATGCTCCAAATATCTGGAACAAACTCCCAGAAACCTGCAGGTCCGCTGCAACTCTGACTACTTTTAAATCCAGGCTGAAGACTTTTCTTTTTGTCGCTGCTTTTAATTGAACTATTCACATCTTAGACTGCACTGTAACTTTTATCCATGTACTTTTTTCTTTTAATGTTTAATTGAACTATTCATATCTTAGACTGCACTGTAACTTTTATCCATGTATTTTTTCTTTTAATGTTTATTTTATTAGCTTTTCTTTTTAATGACTGATTTTAAATGCCATTTTCTTAATGTCTTTCATTTTTTGTAAAGCACTTTGAATTGCCTTGTGTTGAAAAGTGCTATATAAATAAACTTGCCTTGCCTTGCCTTAAATTAAAACATTTTATTTTATTAAATTGATTCCCTCTATGATCAATGATTATTGCATTGGGCTGGATTGCACCTTGAAGAATACACATGTTGTTATATTTAATTATTAGAAAAATAAAGAGTATTGATAAATAATGTCTGTTTTCAGTGATTTCATGTTGAAGGCTTCTGCAGAGCTGCAGCACAGGTCACAGTGTGGTGTTTATTAAATGCGACTTCAAACATGTAGGCCAATAATGTTCAAGTAAACAAGGGAAAAGGGAAATGAGAGCAGCTAAAAAAGACCCCAATGAAGAAGCCTGTAGTTTTAGTTGTTTCTGAAATTATTATATCCATAGTCAGCAAAGCTGGCAGTTTCTAAATATAACAAATGTATTTTTGATCAAAATTAAACAAATAGTTTAATAGTGGAATTTGGGGAAGTATGCTTTCCAAAAACTGTGGTGCAGAACCAAACTAGAAACAAAAGCCCTAAATATTAAAATCAAATCATTATCAAAAGCTTTACTTGGTAGATACCAAAAGGCTCATGTTGCTCTCATTTACTGCACTACATACATGTTGTTGTTGTTGTTGTTGTTGAGGCCAGCTGGTTACCGGTAGGATGGACAGCATAGAGATGTTTGGCTCAGATGAAGCGATGGATGGAAGAAAACAATAAAAGAGTGGAGAGTGTAGTCGTTTGGCTTACTGGCCCGGGGTGTCAGCAAGCGAGGCCTGAGCCACTATGATCAGAGAGCATGCAGATGATAAGTCTATAAATAGAAACATGCAGCGGGAGGGACAAAGGCTATTTGCTTTCATATGATGCAAAAGGATGGTTGGATGTCTCTACTGTAATGAGCGCTTTAGAACATGACCTGTTCTCAGTTCATGTGTTCCCCTTTTGGCTCAATGACCTAAAACACGCAAGCATGATGACTATTCTGATCATATTATATTTAAATTAAACATTAAAAGGTTAGATGGATAACACTGTTTTCTAATGCAAGTTAGGAGATAAATGTACTCCATTCATTTGTTATTTGGACAGTATTAAATTCATTAATATAAAAACAATTATTCATACATGTTGCAAACACCATATGGATTGCACAACCATGGACACATACTAGCCAGCTGATATGACCTTTTAGTCAATGACCAGGCTTCTTTATGGCTGTGAAAATGCTCATGCATTTGCAAAAGATGATGATAGATACTTGCACACGTTGACATGACAGTTTTCATTTTAAGATATCTTGTAAATGAGATTCAGGCTGAAATTCAAAACATAAATGTGTGTGACTAAAGCAGATGTTATTTTGCAAGTCTTTTGCATTCTGAATGAACACAAGGTCAGAGTTCTTCCTTTGTCTCTGTTTGATCAGAATACAATATTTAACACCTTTCTATAAAGATTATTGGTTTGTTTTATTACTGTAACTGAGAATGTCCAACCCTGTCAGTCACTGAATAATTACAACACAGAGCCACATCTTTCTAAATGTTCAGTTGAGAAAGAGAGGAAACAGGACTTCTAAAACTATACAGGCTGAATGAATGCCAACAGCTCAGAAATAATCACATTCACAGAATGATGAATGCTTGCTTACATAAAAGGTTCAAGGTCAAGTTTCTCATGCACATTTGCTCGAATGCATTGACCTCAAGTAAGGTCAAACAAATGCTCACACATCAAAAATCTGAAGAGACAAACACCCCATGTGACTCGATAAACCTGTGGACTCCCTGCAATCTGAAATCGGCTTCAGATGAACAAAGTTCGAGAGAATCGACGTCACTGCATATGTGGGCATATGATAAGAAGTGTACAAGTTGCATAACGTCTCTTTAATTAACCCAGAAATAGACATGAGGTGTAGCCCAAACACTGTATCAGGCTTAAACAGATCGAGCAATAGCTTAGCTGCACTGTATGTGTTACATTTTCACTATGACTGTACAGCGGCTTTTTTTTTTAAAAGGATGTAAAATGGCGGATCCGGTCTCTTGTTTCTGTGAAGCAAGCTATCAAACCTCCTCACAATAAAACATTATTTTATGAAGCCTCAAAGGTGACACAAACACAAAAGAGCAATAGATATCTCCCCTGTTATGATCTGTGTATAGCACATTCAAATTAAATGGGAGGAGAGATCATAAATCATATCACTGAAGGCAGCCTTGCATCATAAGATGGTTTTAAAGAGGACAAAGACAGCTAACACAACATATAAGCCTTCCACATAATCATCTTCTGCACGAGGGCGACAATGCATTTGTGAAATAAAAAACAAACAGGTGTTACCACTCCATTCAGATGACACTGAAATGATGTCAAGCAAAACTAAGGCAGGCCAGACAGGAAATAAAAGTTCTTGATGCAGCCTGAATAAATATATTTGTACATTTTCATTTGCAGCTGAATGTGGTTTCTGCATGGTTTTAGCTGGCTGTTCTACATATAATAATACTTTCTGTAAATCATCCACATCCACCCTGCGATTTGAATGCCTTGCCAAATCATTTAACATGTACACCAACTTGCCAGTAAATTATTATGCCTAGGTAAAACGAATGCAGTATAATACAGCCCTACGTCATGACATAATGTTCAGTTTTAGAGAGATATTTCTTTCAAATGTATGGTTATGTTGGAGGATGTAGTTAAAGGTGTAAATTATTGTGGTGGTGTTAATAGTGAGAGAGCTTTTTCTTATATTTTACCCAACCAAATTGTATCAATGATGGTATACAACATATTAGTAACTCCTCTGAGTATAAGACAGTCATTTTGTCTTCACATGTAAAAAGTGGCAACTGTACAGCACTCTGTCTTATCACAAGGTACATTTTTAACACCACCAATATATTTCTATTTGTGTGGCTGTTAGTGGAAATCTTACACAGCTTAACACATTCTAGGATTGTTTGCACATTTGTTCACATGTAGAAGCTGACAGCAACAGATTTAACCAGCAATTTGTGTCGTCAGATACCTTGAAATCCATTTACTCTCTGCGTTACATGCCCCATGAGGAACTTTCATGACAATTGTTTCCAAGAAACTTCAACAAAAACAAAGTTTGTGGTTCTGATCCTCACGGGCCTTTTCCTCATCATTCACACTAAAAGGTTTCTTCCCTCATCATAAAGCCTCTGCGATTTCTTCAGTGTGTACTCGATCTGAGGCACAAACATCTGGCTGCAAGCAATATAAACTGCCTGCCATGCAGAGAAACCCACTTTGTACTCTGCAGGAATTCCTGCTGAGATATGCATAACTCTTCTATTGCTCTTGCGAAGTGACACTTTGCTCATTTCAGCTGCAAGGATATCAACAACTGAGGATTTTGTGTGAAAACTAAGCAACTTAAAGCATTGTTCTGTTTGGAGTATACCCTCTGAAATGAGGCACTAGTACTTGATCTGGAGCCTAAAGTAGTCAGTCATGATTCTGGTTACATCAGGCTTGATTAGACTAAATTACACTTAAACCAATGATCTAGGCTGTTGGTCTGTGTTACATCCCAGGACCGTAAATAAACGTTACATATTTTGTCATGAGTTATCTGTTGTCATTTCCCTGACAATGGATACTGAATCAGCTTAAAGGAAATATCTTATCTGGCAATGCAAACAGGCAGACAGACAACAGATAATCAAATTCAGATGTAAAGACTTTCCTTAGGTCAGCTCAAAATGGATGGCATCGTGCTAAATATTATTAATCTTTTGTTTGGTTTGGTTTCAAAAATTGAACAAAGTCCATTACAATTTGTTGAGTTATTAAAATTGTATTGTCATACCAACAATATTTATTCAGAATCTATAACTAGAATATGTTTCTCATTTTTATTTTAGAATATGTTTGTCATTTTTATAATAACATTTACAATTAATCAATAACTAATAGTGTCCTATTATGTTTGGCGTATTTGTCTTAAAAAACATGCTTTATTTCTTCAGCACTCGTAAACCAAATCAGTTTCTGCAGCCTCATACAGGACTTTCATAATGACATGGACAGGAAATGAACGAACACACCACGCTGTGGGTATTTCTGCAATGTCACACACTCTTGTGGGAAATACAGACTGCAACACAGCTTTGTTTACTGAATGTCGTGTTGTAGTTTACTTCACGGTCCACATTTAAGACCATACTTTTGAGAAGTTATCAAATATTTTCTACCCAAACAACAGCCCAAGTTCAACTATGTGGTCACACGCCCAGAATTCTTCCCAGCCAATCAGAGGTCGCTTGTTTCACACCAATCAGCTGGGTGGTGGGCGGGGCAACTCAGGCTGTTGCTAGGGTATGCCTTTTGCAGGCAAGCCAATCAATTCACACCACACCGTGTTTTCAGCCCGCCCATAGGCTGAGACATACTCGGAGAACCCGCATACAGGCGTTTCCCATTGGGCAGACGTGCCATCACTCACTTCTCTGAGTTTTAGTTAGGTGCTGTTGATACTGTAGTTTGGAGTCACCAAGACTCAGAACTGAATATAGCAGCACACGTTCATCGCTCTGAAACAGTTTTTAAAATTTCCATTACATAATCCCATGACTTGTACATTTGTGTAAATAGATATTTTCTATTTTTTTTATATCGAGACAACGACGAGATGGAACTTAATTCTCTTCTTATTCTGCTGGAGGCTGCAGAGTACTTGGAAAGAAGAGACAGAGGTATTTCCAGCCAAACTGACAAGTTGACAGCATTTCTACTGAATACTATTGAATGGGGCATTGCTAGGACAGCAGCTAGCTTAATCTTGTATCTTGTGTAAAGTTTTACCGAGCCCTGCCTTAGTGCAGGTATGATGTCACTTTACAGACAATGGGGCGATGGGTGCAAAGTGGACCTAGCAGCCTGTATTCCTAGAAAATAATAGCTCTACTTTATTATTTAAAGTATGTCACGTGTTTATAAACTGAGCTTTCAACCTTTCCAATACAGCTCATGTGTTGTGTATGCTCATAACTGCAGTGTGTATTCGTATTAGCTCTTCGGAAATGAATAAACAAGAGTGACATTGACAATATGAGGCAGTATCATAATGACAGATACTCACCAATGCAAATGTAACACTGATTGTTTTACACTATTAGACCTTGCTGAAGACTATACAGTGCTATATTGATATATTGCAAGCGATTACTCTGATGATCGATCACGTTTTGTTCCTCTTGAAATGACTTAGCCTCTATAAAGCTATCTCATGTTTCACCATTTCCCCGAGTGACTGATGGACAGCTTACATTTTTTTTATTCTTGCAGCAAACACCAGAATAAATTAACATTTTGTTTTGTTTTGTCTATAGAGGCAGAACACGGTTATGCGTCTGTTTTACCGTACATGGACGACTTTTCCAGTAAGAAAACGAAAGCCTCGCCAATTTCCCGCAAAACTCACAACAATAGGTAAATACAAGTCTTGTTTTTTTTTTTTTTTTGTGGAAATGCAAGCTTATAGAAACATGCACACACACAGGGATCTGTTTTCATGCACACTGCTATCTCTCTCTCCGCTGCTGTGCCTGGGCTGGGTCTCTGTTTTGGTCTCTCCCATAAACACTGCCACGCGTACACTGTCAACTCTGCTGCTCCAACTCTCCGTGTTTCACACACACTGTCTACACACACACACACACACTTAAAACACTCCCCATGCTCAGAGAAACATGCACTCAACCTTTTGCTTCTGCACCCTGTCTGTCTCACACATGCTTCCACCTGTGCCCAGGGGCGGACTGGGGGGAAAAAGTGGCCCGGGGATTAATTGACAGACAGGCCCACTTAATGCGTGGCATGTATCGGCCGGCCGGCGACGAAAGTATGTTACTTAACAAAAAACCCTATGTATTTTATGTTATTTTGGACCATTATTCATATAGTCATCACATTACCTGAGCCCTTGAGTTGCCTAAGCAAAATAGTTACAGCATATATTTAGTGATTTTAATGTTAACAGATCATTGATGCAATAACATTTGGACCCAATTTGCCTGACTTGATGCATGGAATAAAACATGGGTGTAGGAAGCATCCTCAATGTGGGTGAGACAATTTGACAGGGGGTATGGGCAGGTGGTGGACCTCACCTCCTCTAGGGGGGTCCGGGGGCATGCTCCCCCGGGAAGATTTGTTTTAAAATGTTGAAGTTAAATGCATCAATCTGGTGCATTTTGAGAGCAAAATTAGGGACTAAATCTATGGATACATCTCTCAACACCAATATGAAACAGAACTGTAAACAGATTTACTTTTTCTTTCAACATTTATTTGAACAGCAAGTGGAGGCAAAAGTGACTGCACCCAGAACAATAAACCTGCTCGCTAACTAGCCTAAACTCAGTAACAGAATGTGGGTTCTGAATGAACGTTCTTCTCCACAGCCGTGCGACCTCTGAGTCAGACGTCACTTCCCCCTTTTCTATCCTACGGGTGCAGCCACTCCCCCTGAACCCCGTTTTACCCCCCCTCCCCTATGCAAGCCCCTCCCTCTGAACCCAGGGCTCGCTACAATACTGTATACACATACACAACAACAAAAAACACTAGAGGGCAGGGCAACATACTTATAAACAATAAGCCCTGTCAATACTTCCCTCTCTACCCTTTTGGGTCTATAAGTGAGCTCATCCATGTGTTGCTTTTAAAAGGAGGAGGCTGGGTTGAAGTGGTTGATTTTGACATTGGGAGCAAGGTTGTAGAAGTCAGTCCCCTCTGGAAAAAATAGGGTGGCCTATGGGTGAGAGACAAAACATATATGCATGTTATGTACTATGTATGATACTGACATCCACCTGAAGCCTTCATTAGAACAAATGTCATGTTTTTAATGTTGTTTAATAGTCTGCAATAATCACTAATTTATTAGTGTCAAGATTGGGAAGTCACATAGTAATAAATGTAAATGTATTATTACCTCACTGAATTAGTAGTTTCTGCAGCAGCTCACTTTTCTCTGCAACACCATCTATAATTTGGTCACTATCCAGCATCTTCAAAACATCTGGTTGAGTAGCCATGAGCATAAAGGACTCCAGGTTCTGTTGAGAGAGCGAGCTCCTGAGCTTGTTTTTGATGAATTTTAGTGTTGAAAAGCTTCGCTCGCATGCTACCTGTGTGACAGACAGGGTAAGCAGGAACCTGTATGCAAGGCCAATGATGTGGTATGCATCTGTCAGGAGGTTGTACTGCTTAAGGATACGGTAGCAACACAATGGGCAGTCCTTGCAAGATGAGCACTTTTTATATACCATCTCCGCTTCATCTTCAGCATCCTCTGGCCCAGCCTCTGTTGTCTTGGTTGTGTATTCCTCAAATACAGATGTCTTCAACCTATTCCACTGTCCTGCCAGACTGATGAGCTCACTCTGTAATTTGGCCACCGTTGCTCTGTCATCAAATGGCAGCAAGCACTTGCTTAATTCTTGGAGTGCTGCCTCTGGGAAACCACCGGCATAAGATGTTACCTGGCTGAATCTTTTTGGGTCCAGAAGTGCCAAATCAGCATACAAAGTGCCATTTTTGAGGAAGCGCTGGTGCATGCTTCCTGTGACTGTGTCCATGATTTGATTATGGACATCAATCTTGTATGATGTTTCAGCATCAGTCACAGCCTCATCCTTGGACATCTCTCCAGGCATGGTTTTCTTCTTTCTACCCCGTTTCTGTGGCAGAGCGGCCTCAACCTCCAGCTCAGTCTCCTCACTCTGCTCCTCTGATTGATTGTTGGCCCACTGGACGAATGTGGCGGCCGCCGTCTTGACTTTCTCGAAGTCTCTGGTCATATCTTTCAGCTGTGTTTCTGCAGCCACAATCATCCGATGAGCTGTCAGGATGTCCATTCCACTTTTCTGAAGGTATTTTGAGACTGGTGAGGTGACCTGGAAAATTCTCAGGAAGATCTGAGCTGTAAGTATTGTTTCATACCTCAGAAGCTGGGTGATGTATCCACGTGCATTGACCCGTGCAGTGGCGTTGATGGTCTGTCCATGTTGAATGGCGGAGAGGGTATGAAGGACATCAACATACAGGGCATTATCTGGCTTTCCAAAAGAGCCAAATACCTTAGTCACAGCAACGTCTTTGGACCACCAGCGTGTCTCTCCAATCGGGGCGAGACGTCTGTGTCTTGGGTCTTTGCTCTCCTTCTCCCAGATGTTCATCCTCTGGTAGGACACTCTGATGAAGACAGCGATGTTGTTCAACAGGGAAAAAAGAGACCCACTTGCCAATACACATTGTGTTGTGTCTGCCAGGACGAGGTTCAGGACGTGTGCGTAGCACCATACATGGACATGGGTGGGGGACATTTTGGCGAGCAGTGCAGAGAAGCCTTTATATTGGCCTTGCATATTGGAGGCCCCATCGGTGGAATCTCCAATACACTGCCTCACATCCAGTTTCATGGTCTCCAGTACTTCATTCACAACAAGTTGTGCAAAGTACTGCCCAGTGGATGCCTCACATTTAATCACAGCAACAAGTCGCTCATGAACAATGTCTGTCACATATCGTATGACAACAGAGCACTGATCTTGGGCTGTGATGTCCTGTGTGGTGTCAATCTGGACAGAATACATGCCAGATTCCCGGACTTCAGTGGCGATGGTGGCCTTCATTAGGCGTTGGATGGTGGTGATGATGTAGTTGATGGTTGTTTTGGATAGGAGAGTGACAAGGGAACCTCTACCTTGTCTTAAATCAGACTGGTGTATTTGCTTGCTCTTTTCTATACAGAGAGTGAGGTGTTCCTTGAGACACACATCATATTTTCCCAGCAAAACAATCATCTCTAAAAAGTTACCATGATCAATGGTGTCATCATCTAGTGTATATAATGCCTCCGCCTGCGTGCCCCTGTAGCTCAAACCCCTTTGACCAATGAGTTTCAACACATCTATGATGCGCTCCAACACTTGACGCTTCCTGCGGACTTCCTCTCTGTGACGTGACATCTGAGGTCCCATGAGAAGGTCCTGAATTGTGTTTTTTGAGAATCTGAGGAAATATGCCTCAGCGCAACCTCTGTGAGCATGGCTCTGCTCATGCTCCTCGACTCTCTGATGTATGTGTGTGAAGTTGGTCATACCAGTGATGAAGGAGTTGCTATCTCTAGGATTAGCAAAAGCCATACAAAGGGAGCAGAAGAGTACTTCTCTAGCTTCACTGTATGATAGCCATTTCCTGTTTGTGCCGTCTTTGCAAAAAAAAGCCCTCTGCACTACAGCCTTGTCTGCCTTCTGCTGGGGGTGAAAACGGAAGAATAGGTCTAATGTGCCTGACATCGGCCTGGTGAAATAATCAACTGGGGTGGCACTGAATCCTGGCCTTGACTAACTCTGTCAGTGTCAGCAGCAGGATCATCTTCAGCCTACATAAATGATTAGTATTGATTAGTATGTTACGTTATTATGTTACCACCATGGTATTATTATGTATGTAAACCAAGTAAAGTCTTAAAGACAGTAACAGGCTAATTTCCACCAGACAGTAACTTTAGTTGCAGGTTGACAAATAATGGACCCTTTATTATTTTTAGTATTAATAAGGTAACCTAACGTCTAAGCTAATCAAACAAAAGACAGTATAAGCAATCATAGTAGTCTCATTGATTCACCAGCCCAAGTCAAGTGGCTATAATGTTCAAATAGATTACCGTTGTCAATGAGTGAAGCAAATCTACCAGCAGCTTGCATATTTCACCAGAATTTGGTCAGTGAATGGTGTTAATTTTACCCTGTCCCTGTGAACACACAATGTACTGTAGGCAATAGGCTAGCTAGCTAATGCATTAGCTGTCCCTGTGAACACACAATGTACTGTAGGCAATAGCCTAGCTAGCTAGAAATAGGCTAGCTAGCTAATATTACCTCATCTGCTACATTAAAAAGCAAGCTAGCATTAGCCAAATGAGGATTTTCACTTTCAGCATCAATCATAACATTAACTTACCATCATATCACTGCTGGTACTGGGCTCTAGATGCCGCTGTGCTGTGTCAGTTTCATTGCTGGACTCACTGCCACTGGGAATGGCCGCTGTGTCGGCTAACGTTACATCAGCTTCTCCGGTGGTGGTTGTACTACAACTAGAACCAGCTGCAGGACCAAACGAAAAGTCTGTAATTTTTTTTGATTTTGCTGAACCTTCCTCAAGTGCTTTCATTTTTTTATCCCTAAGTTTTTGTGCACCTCCTTTACGCTTTGGAGCTTGTTTATCCATCAGTAACTCACTCCTGATCTTTCACTGCGCAGTGACAGCTGCTACGGGCCTGATGGGGAGTGGCCGGCCCGGAACACTTACAAATGTGGGCCGGTAGGATTTAGTTAAGCAAAAAAAAAAAGGGAGTGGCCGGTATACTTACAAATGTGGGCCGGTAGGATTTAGGCAAAAAAAAAAAAAAAAAAAAAAAAAAAAAAAATGTATTTATTGTTTTGGCCCTCCGGCCCACGCACAGCACCGGCCCACCGGGGAAACTCCCGGTATTCCCGATGGCCAGTCCGCCCCTGCCTGTGCCTCTTCGTTCTTCATGTGGTTTAGTGTGTTTTGTATGTGTGTGTGTGTGTGTGTGTGTGATGTTAAGTGCTTTACCACCAAGGTCTCCCATCCCATGTAGTTCGACTTTCTCCCCCACACACAGGGCATGAGTAGATCGAGGTTCCTGAACAGATTATCGATTGCTTTTCATTATCTCCTCATCAAACTGTAATTAACACGCGTTCATCCCTCGTTTGACTCCATTTGCATCTCGTGACAGTTTGCAACCAATAACAACTCTGCTGCAAGGCCATAATAATCACACAGAATAACATTGCACAAGTGAACAGATTAAAGTTTCAGTTTCGGTCCTATCCTGATCTGAGGCTGTTTTTAGACCAGTAGAACAGCTGGCTAAATGGAATGTAAAACTAAGCATGTTAATACGTGATAATAATTAAGAAAGAAATAGGGAGTGCTGCACTGGGTACAGAAACTGGGCGTTGGTAATGAATTAAAATCATATCAAAAGGCAATAACTTACTGGAAATGGAAGTCCATGGAATTTGTGGGCAGTCTGAATTCATCTGATGCACTCTTATTATATTTTTAAAACCCTATATTGCCACCCAACACCATAGACAACTATTCAAAGAAAGCAGGGCAGTCTTTTTTATTCTTACTAGGTTTACATTGAATTCTTATCTCTAACAATGTAAATGCATGTTTAGTAGGAAGATCAATAACAGAGCTGGTAATCAATATTATTTTTATTATTTGTTCTTGTTTAATAATTCATAGTTTTGCCTATAGCATATCAGAGAATAGTGAGATGGCCAACATGGAGGACAAGCCAGTGAACCTTATGTTTGTCTGGAATAGTGTTTAAATTGGCTGTATCAACGTGGGACACGCCCTCACTAACTCCTTTTCTCTTGATTTATGACCCTAATTTGAGGACACCCAAGGCTGCATGCAAAATGTTGTGGGGTTATTTGGCCAGGTGTGGACAACAGTGGACCCTTTCATCTGGTAACCACCTGTCATTTGCAGGAAAGGTGTTTTTAGGTTAAACTGTCCAGAAACATTTGCATGATGTGTCCAATTGAATTCCCAAGAACACAAGCACATGAGTTTCTGATGAAAAAAACCAAACTTTCCTGTTAGCTAATATTAGTTTAGGGAAGCACCGTGAGGCCGGTTTCCTCAGTAGTAAGAGTTACATCACTGCACGTACATGCTGAACTATTGTGTTACTATTGTATTTACACTCTTTTATATGGATTTGTAAATAAAATAAAAACACTTTTCGATGTCACAAATCAGGTTCAGGTTCAGGTTCAATGAGAATGCAGCCTCTTCCACATTCCTTTGACAGTCTGACAGAGCAACACAATTGTGTACGTGTGTGTGGTTGAGGGTGTGGTGCCTCCAACAGACACCTCCACACAAACACCAGCCCCCAGGCTCCATGCACCAGACATGCTTTTCCTCTTCCTTCTTGTGACTGCACTGTGGCCAAATTCCCATATTCCCTTTATACTCTCCAACAGTTTTGTATAAGCGTCAACAGGATGCAGGGTGTATGAAGTAAAAACATGATCTTAAACCGTATTTTCGGAAAAAACGAAGCTGTTGGTTAAAAAAGCAAAATGCAGTGCTTTGTACCGAGCACTGTTTAATACAGTTCATGACCAAATCTGCAAATCAAACAGATCACATGTTTTGCAAGAGAGCAATATTCAGGGCATGTGGAAGAAAAACAACAGCCGGGAGTCTATTTCTGCAGAGAGAAAAACCCTGGTGGAGTTTCCTTTCTTTACATGCACACTGGTATTAAATCAAAACGCTTCTAAAAGAAAGGGGAAAGACATGGAATTGTATTGTTGAAAGATTTCCTGCTTCACCTCTCTGTCACAGATACGAAATTTAAAATAAAAATAGCGTGACCATGGGAAAAACATACACACGATGCTCTGCTCTGGCAGTTCTGCATCCCATTAAAACATCATTGATAGGAGGCTTATATGTAGGCCTTTGATCATCGGGGCCATGTATTGACATCAGAGTCATTTCCATGGCAGCATTATTTTACATAATATGTGGAGGTGTTTTAACCTGCTGTAATATTACAGGTCTGATGACTTCCTGGTCACGCCTTGCGTTTTGAATGGGCAATTCCCCAATCTGTGCAGATTTGAATGGCACAACTTCCTCCATGATGGTATGAAGCTATGTGTTGGCCTTTTGGAATCAGGTTATTAGCAGCAGTGCAACATCCTGTGTTACTTCTGGGATCATTTTGTGCAGACGCCACATTATCACAGTTGCACAGTAACCCTTTTTGATGCAGCTGTGGGAACCACTGCTTCACGAGCACAAGGGCTCTCAAACAGCGGAAAGAATCTGAAAAGGCTTGTTGTCAGTCTGGCCCTTTGTTGTTGCTGTTTTTATTTGTATTGCCGTGGTATCCATGACGGCCTCATGAACAGAGGGCCTGTTTTCAGATGGACTGCAGTGCCCTCGCTGCAGATCTCGACAGGGGCTCTCCCCGCTCAGAATAGCCCACACGCTGAGGAATTCTGCAGCCGCTCGGCCTCCAGACGTCTGAGTGTGTTTTTATCCCATGTCCACGCTGCTTTCCTGCCAGCGTGCAGCAACAACAGCAGTGTGTGCATGCTGTTTGTGTGTGTGAGCGGGAGGGGAGGGATCTCTCTCTCTCTCCCTCTCGCTCTCATTTTTGCCCACTGCAGCACACTGTCTGACAGATGTCACACAGACATGCAAAATATTAAAAAAACTAGCACACAAGTTTTATGTTTGTCTACAGAGTGATCAGTTTTGGACTTTGTTAATAGTTGGTGTTTAAGGTCAAACTAGTAAAGCAACGCACGCATTTAAAAGCCTTGAGGCCACACATGGACGCAGAAAGATAGACAGACACAGAAATGAAATGACACCACATTGTTCCTCTGAATAAACGTTTCTCAGATGTGCATTCTCTTCCAAACGTCTTGCTTTTATGTCTTTCATTTAAACTCTTAGACTTAAAAGTTCATCTCCAATCAAGACTTTTAACCTTCAACACATTTATTAACTAAGCCTCACTCCTTTGGATCTTTCTCCACACAGCTTCCTGTCATGTCATTTGATTTGAAGTGTGTGTAGTATTTTGACAGCACGACACTGCCCTGACACGCCTACTTGTCTTTTGTCCTTTCAGATCATCGCACAACGAGTTGGAGAAACACAGGTAATGTGACATCGGAGGCTCTGTGGCCTATTTGTATGATGTGCGTCTTTGCCAAACACCTTTTAAGTTCCTCACATACTAAGTGAAGATATGCAGGCTGCAGGTAGACAACCACGATACCGCCTCTCATTCAAAAAACACCAGATAATATCAGAGGTCGTCTTCAAAGAGATTTGAATCAATTAATTCCTTGTGTCTGAATAAGGATTATAATCTGATTTCAGAGAGCGACTTCATGTTGATTAGATCTGTCTCCATTTCACGGATGAGACTCGTTACCTTTTTATGGGAAGGGGAATCCTGTCAGTAATGTGATAATCCTTCCCAGGCTGACGCTGTGAATCTGGCTCTCGCCTGTCATTTCTCCAAACTGAGAAACACACACTCACACACAGACACACACACACATCCCGCTCATTAAAGTCACAGACGTTTGTTTTGCGCTGTTTTGACTTCACTAAGAGGAAGCACCTCTATAGATCCAAAGGGGTTTCTAGTCAGGAAGCAAGACTCCTCTTTGATGCTACAAAGCCGAGTTGCTTTAGGGGAGAATGGTTGGGGGAACAGGCAACATTTATTTTTGTTACGTGCAGGTTTTTGTTTTTGAATTGAGGCCAAAAATGATCCTCTGAAAACCAGAGCAGAGCAGAATTAGACAACAGCTGATGTGACTAACAGCATGTGAGCAGAGGCAGGGATGGGTGTGTTCGGCTGCATGTTCGTGACGTTGAGGGATTGGGGTTTGCCAGTCACATGTCTGGGAGTGAGTAATATATGTGTGTAGTGCAGAGAAACTTGTCCAGACATATTCCTCCCAGACCTGAGATTAAGAGAAGCCCCGGCTGAGCGCACTGCAGGCGTTGACACACAGCAGTTACCTCATGTCCGATGACGGGCGTTGTTGGTTACCATGGTGTGACGTCCAGTCAAACTGACAAATGCAAGTAGTGCCAGTAAAGTGTTCCTCAATCAGTTTATTCACTTCCCTTGTTGTCACTAAACGGCCATAGGTTTCTACATGTATTATGAATTCAGTGAAGCATTGTGACGATGATGGTAAAATATGTGATTTACTTCCCTTGTGTTTCGGCCTTTTTGTAAGGGCTTCAAAATAGGAAACTAAGAAGAAGTACTCCGTCACACTGCACTGTCCTTGGTGACAAATGAAGCATGTCTTCTTTGTGTTTGAAAGTACCTTCTTGCCCTCATCTTTCATTCGTCCATGACTGTTTGTACAGAAACATTTCCACCTACTTATTTGTAATAACAGGCCCCGTCGTGCCGAGGTGTGAGCGTTTTGCAACGTAATTCATTCTGATGCATCCTCAAATTACACGGCCATTACCCCCAAATGCCAGGTGTTAACGGTCGAAAATGTGACTTCAGGCTTTGGCACGATCATCAGCAGCGCATGGGTGTGATACCTTTTACCTGAACTAGTGTTGAGATTTGAATCAGTCAGTCAAAGTCAAAAGTCAACTTTATTGTCAATCTTTCAGTTTGTATGTACAGACAGAGATCGAAATACCGTTTGTCACAATCCTGAATACAAAAACAAATATATATAAAAATATGTATACAAATATGTATATACCTATATATATATATATACACAATCAACAGACAGTTGACAGCTAGCAGTTTTCGTTTACGTTTTTTATCATGGAAAAAAAGTTACAGCTGCTCAAATTCAAGGAATTGTACAGATGTTCTCAGTTTTGTTATCACATGGATTGATTATCTTTAGGTCTTGGACTATTGGCCACAAAAACAAGTCATTGAAAGACATATAGCGTTCTCTCAATAAGTACAATGGGCTTTTTTCAACATTTTCTTACATTTTAGAAACTTCAAACAATCAATTGTTTATCAAGAGTAGATGTCTAAGCGAAATGTTATCAGTTACAGGCCTAATGGTATGCTTTCAAAGAAACTAAACAAACACGTCCAGTGTCCTTAGTTGATTTCCTTCTCTGTTTCTGATTCATAAGAGAGACAAAAGTCTTCAGTCGTCCTGTTGGACCAGTTTGATGATTGTTTGATCAGGGCAGCACCAGAGCTTCAGACCTGTTTAATCTCCAGCAGTGCCAGTATCGCTTTCTGAAGCTCGACCTCCCTCACGCCCTCAGACGCCACTTCAGGGAGGAGCTGCAGTTTGAGCCCTGACTCACAGCCTTTGTTTGGTCATGTGTCGTCGTTGTGTTGGGTTCACGTCGGTGCAGCATAGAGCCATCCCTCTACTGTTCAATCACGTGATGGGCAAAACGTCTGACAGATATTACGTTTATTCAAAGGTTTGACCTACCCCTAGGCCAATGTCATTGGGTTTCAAAAGGGCCAGTCTTCTATCATGATAGCATGAGGTTCTTTATATATCTCAAGAACGATACATATATTAAAATATAGCATGTTTTCTGGTCATTCAATAAATAGTCTTCAGTAAAAAGCCACATAGTGAAGCCCCTTTTTGTAGATGTTGTGTGAATTAACTACTTGATAAATGAGTATCATCTCATTTCATCAACTGTAGTGTCAAATCTAAAGTTTCAAGTCAAATTATTATAAAAACATATATATCTAGCTAAACATTGACTAAGTCTACATGCAGGAACAGAAATAATGAAATTACTGTAAGATGCAATTTCATTTAAATTGTGTCCAGTTTTTGAATAAAACTCAACTGAGCTTTAAATTAAAGTAATCTCCAATAAATATTCCCTCAAAATATAAAATGTCTGAGTCAGTATGACCTTGTTATTATCAATTTAGACAAATTAATTGAGTATCACTTTATCTAGATACTTTGATATCTCGATTCATTGAAAGAGGATAAATCATTTTAAGGAATTATCTCCCAGCTCTTGCTTTCATATGTCCAAACATGTCCATTACCCGTGGATACCAGGCTCACTGGCTGCTGCTCAGCGGCATCATGTGTTCTAGGTGTCCTTCATGAAACTGAATGGCATTTACGAGGCACCCTGAATTTATTTGTGTCCTGCTATCAGAGTGAGCCGTCTGGGTGGGAGCCAGCGCCGCTCCAGGCTCTCCTGTCCTGAGTCGACACAACCTGCTTATCTGCTGCAGCCATGACAGCACTTCTGGAGGGTGACGCTGCTGTTTTCTGTCTCCACCTCCTCGATGCGTTTGAGAACAGAGCTGCGCGGCGTCAGCTTGTCGTTTCTGGGAAACCAATTGCTGCTGTGTGGTTGGTCGCTGCTGGCATTGCTTCCTTCCCATTTCTGACTTAAACTGCTCTTGATGAAGCCTATGACGTCTTGTCAGCGCCACTCGTTTCCTTTTCTAGAAACGCTTGAAAAAAGAGTGAAACTACAGACGTTTCGTTTTCCCACACATCACCTGATTACAGGAAATCCAGTCGCGTAAGGCTGGTATGTTTGTGATGCTTCCCTCATTTGAAAAAAAGGATTTACATCTCCATTTATAACTTCCCATAAGCAGACACCGCCCGTGGCCATCAGGTGCCTTCGGTTTCATTTCTGAGATCACTCATAAACAATGCTCAAAGTGCGTACATCAACAAACAGTATTTTCTTACAATATAGATCATACCACAGATAGCGTACATGTGGGCCAACATCTGAAGCTAACTCTGAATGGAAATGCACTTCATGGACAGGAGCAGGACTCAGTCTGTCACGCTCTAATCTTCACTCTAATTAAATGTACTCTCTTCCACTCCCAGCTGTGATGAATGACTTATTTGGCTTTGAGGAACTCTCTCCCCTCGAGTAAAGCTCCTGTGTGTGTGTGTGTGTGTGTGTGTGTGTGTGTGTGTGTGTGTGTGTGTGTGTGTGTGTGTGTGTGTGTGTGTGTGTGTGTGTGTGTGTGTGTGTGTGTGTGTGTGTGTGTGTGTGTGTGTGTGTGTGTGTGTGTGTGTGTGTGTGTGTGTGTGTGTGTGTGTGTGAGAGCTGAGTTATGGCAGTGTGTTATGTGTCCGACTCCTACAGCCCCGCTCTTCACCTCCTTGCCTTCTCCTCTTTGTCTCCTTCTTTCTCCAGAGACCACATCTGTTTTCTCTGTTATGTTTTTTTCTCCTTATTCCGGCTCTCCTTTTCCCCCCTAAAAGTGTCTGAGTCAGCAGAAACCTGAGGCAGCAGGGAGGAGAAAGGCTGGCTCGCTGCTCACAGAGGGCCTTTATCACTCTTTACTCGTCCTCCTGCCAAAACTCATCCGTGCCCGTTTCTCATCCTTTAAAGTATAAATCTTCTTTTGTGACGGTGAGTTTATGTGGAAGACGCCAGGCTTTGATGGGCCTGTTAATCCGGGTCATCTGCATTTTAATAAGGACTGTAAATGAAACAACACTGGACTCATATTAGGTCTACATCCTGCCTTTAAAAATGAGTTAAGAGACAGCTATAAACAAGGTGCAAAGCTTCTTTATTGTCTTTTGGGTTTAAATGTGGCATTCACGTGCTCACACGATAGCACGTGGCTTTTGTACTTCACTTCCTCTAATGTCACACTGTCAGTTACATTCCTCGTGTGTGTGTGGTGACCTGGAGTCATTAGGTCTGCACGGGCAGCTAATAACCCACAGTAATGACTGATATACTGTATACTCTAATCATTAGGCACATAATGATAAAACCCTGCATACTAAAAGAGTAGGACTGCAACTAAGGATGATTATCATTATATATTACTTTTTATTTTCGTTAATGATTAATAGTTTTGCCTATAAAGCGTCAGAAATGTGTGAAAAAGCCCATGAAATATGACATTGTTTCGGCATTTTTACTTGAAGAAAATACTAACTTAAATAATTATATAAATAGTAACAGGTCAATATTATATTAGTAAGCCTTTTATATTTAAAGAATGCATTTTGTGTTATTGATATGTCTTTTGCAGATACAAAATGTATTGTAAAGTCTGTGTCCAGACATCCAATAAATTGTACATATTGAAATTGCCATAAAGAAGTGTTTTTATAGAGAACAACAACCAGATGCATTAAAAGGATTTCTTTATTG